CTAATAATTTCCATTTTTCACAATTATTGGATGATTTTACATCTGAATGGACATCCACTACAGATACTGTATCAGAAAATCTTAATAATATCAAAACAGACCAGATAAAAGAAGATGAAGAAGAAGAACATTATGAAGAAGATAGTAATGATAGTTTAAGTTCTGTGCAAGAACAGCTACCAGTTTCTTTGTTTAAAACTACACAACGACGTCCATGGCCTTGGCAAAGAAATTATAATATTAGTACATATATTTTTTATGCTTTATTTATAATATAATAATCAATTTTCATTAATTATTTTTAAATTTTATTTTAGAAGAAAAAATTCCACGTATGACACATCAACAAGAAACATATTTATTACAACAAATTAATAAATCAACTCTAAATTGTGCATCTTCAGAAATTAGACGATTTTATCGAAAAATAGCTGTAAGAAAATTAAAACGTGAATATGGTTTACCACTACTGGATATCGATAATTTTGGCTGTAAAACAGAGATACTTGATAAACCTTTGAAAGATTCTGGCCGAGTTTTGGATCGATTTTTTGGCGATGATTTAAGTTCGTTTGAACAACGATTACAGGGATACAACGAGCCCACATCTGTACATAGTCCATATACAAATAGACTTTTAAAACCATTCATAAGAAGAGACACTTCATGTCATCCCTTATGGTTGAAAGTAATGGAAGAGCTTCGTATTAAAGTCAATAAATCTAATCCAAAATGGAAAGCACCACCAATAGCACCAATTGATTATTCTTATGTAAGACCACAACACATTCCCGCGATTAATAGCTTGTGCAATCAATTTTTTTGGCCTGGTATTGATTGTGAGTAAATATAATAAATATATAAAGATTCAATATAAAAAAATTATCTCTCATGATTATGATTTCTAAAAGCATATTTAAATATATATTATGTATTTAGGGAAGAAAAATAACAAGATTTTACTTTTTCAGTGACAGAATGTTTGCAATATCCTGACTTCACATGTGTGGTTTTATATAAAAAGTTAGTCATAGGATTTGCAATTTTGGTTCCTGATGTTAGTTATAATGAAGCTTATATATCATTTTTTTTAACTCGTCCCGAATGGCGTAAATCTGGTATAGGAACATTTATGTTATATCATTTAATTCAAACGTGTATGGGGAAAGATGTTACATTACACGTTTCAGCTACTAATCCAGCATTAATTTTATATCAGAAATTTGGTTTCAAAGTAGAAGAATTTGTTCAAGATTTTTATGATAAATATATGCCACCAAATTCACGAGAATGTAGACATGCGTTATTTTTACGATTGAGTAGATAAATTTAATAATGTATATATATCATATATACATTACAACAAGTGTACATAATATTTATTAAATTAATTTGAATTTTTTATAATGATATAAATATAAATAATAAAATATTGATTTTCATAAAGTATAATTAAATTATATCGATTTCCCCCAATATAACGAATAAATTCAATGAATTTAATAAAATCAATGAATTTATTAAAAAATTTATCTCAATATTTATTTTGAATTACATTTACATGATAATATAATATAGATTATAATTATAATATTTATAAAAAAAATTTATATAAATAATTATTACTATTGATATAATAAAAAATTTTGATGTAATTTTATTTCCAATAAAAAGTTTTAATATTGAAATATATATATATATATTTATATATATCTTATAATATTATAAAATTTAAATAATAATGAAAATAATAAATGGTATTTCTTAATCAAATTATTTTATATATTATATAAATTAATTTATTTATAATATTTGAATATCACTAAATTTCATGAACTTAATATAGTATATACATATATACATAGAATTTTCATTCTAATATCTACAATTATATTTCAACGAATATATAAAAATATTCAGAATATTCAGCTATGTTCAGATTATAATGTAAGCGATATCTTTTTTATTTATTTCTATAATAGCATCAAATATAAAAATTATTATTATTTTGACAATGTATATCAACTATTTTGTAAATATGTAATAATAATACAAATGTATTATTTATTTATTATTATATCAATATTAAAATTCATAAAGCGCGGGTAAAATTGTCGATCACATTTTCGATCTACAACTAAGAGTGGGGGCTACTGACGTCATTGAATAAGTGCTACGGAACTGCCGTCGACCTATTCTCGAAAGTTCCGGAAGCCACTAGAAGGAAAGTTTGTATATATGGACTGCACAGCTTACGCGACACTTTAGTACGTGAAGAGAGGTGTTAAATGTTGTTTCGAGCCATCTGTCAGAAACAAATATTTCATTAATTTGCATAACGTTTTAAAAAATTCAGTGAATTAAGTGCCAATTGGATTTTATAATTTATTAAGTAACCACAAGAACAATAAACGGTAAGTGTTGAACGAAAAATATAAACGATATTCCGTAGGAATCTTCGATTCTGTCAGATGTTTGGGTGGAAAAAATGGGCGATCTCATCAGTAATGGGAAATTATTCGCGTATATTCGATGCATGATTTTATAAGACATAAATGCAGATTAGGGCAGCCATCGTGGATACTGTAGAATTTATTTTTACGCTGCTCGAAATCGTTGCACGTTTGCAGAAGCAGACACGTTCGTCGCTTATACGCGCTCATCATTGCCAGAAATAGATATCGGTGAAATACATTCGTGGGTGTGCGTTAGAGAGACATCCATATTTCTTTCCTCGAGAATATGCGAAAAAATGGCAGATCATTGGCAATCATAATTAATATCTATATGCTATTGTTCTACTTGTGTTTCGATCAGATGAATGCAAAATGTTTCATGTTTTTATGAGTTTAATTTGCTAATAAATGTAATCTGACTTAAAATCATGTTTTCAAATTTTGAAAATTACATAGTCTTTTGATACTTAGTTTAGTATTTAGTCTTTCGATTGCAAAATCCATATAATAATAATAATATTTATATTAATTACGTTGACGTAATTTGATTGTATCGTGAAAGTTCTCGGTAAAAAATTAAGAATTTAGTACAATTTTTTATAGTGATTTTGTTAATTCTATTTAATTCTGTTAATGAATTTTTATTTTATTGTGTAAAATTATGCAAATAAAAAAAATAAAAAATATAGATGTAAAATCGTAAGTTTGATTTATATTTGTAATAAATAATATATCTTCTATATGCGCTAAGAATCTGTAAAAGATGAAAACAGTTCTTTGTGCAGTGTGACGTCGAAATCGTACTTGAAACTTCAGAAGCAACCGCACTTTTATGGTCACGTTGCATTAAATATCGTTTCCCAAACCATCAATATAGAGAATTATACGATATAAAAAAATATGTTTGTAATGATGTAATATTTCGTTTAGATCACGCTTATAATATATGTAATGATTGCGATGTATGTAGCAATATAATTTTAAATAAAATGCGTAATAAACATAGAAATTAAATCACAATAAGTTCCAGAATATTTTATGAATTTATTTATAGTTTAATATAGAAAATATTTTAAATAAATTTAAATAAATGCTCACTTAAATAATTTAGAGAAATACCATTAAAAAAGATTTAAAATGTAATTTAATAATTGTAAATGAAGATGAAAATAAATTTATTACTAAAAATATTTGTATTTTTTTATTTCTAGAAAAACAATATATCAATTTTCCTTTTATTTAAATTGTTACAGATCAGTGACCAATGGGGAAAGATTACTATAAAATATTAGGCATAAACAAAAATGCCACTGATGATGAAATAAAAAAAGCATATAGAAAATTAGCATTAAAATATCATCCTGATAAAAATAGAAGTGCTGGAGCAGAAGAGAAATTTAAAGAAATTGCTGAAGCTTATGAAGTTCTTTCTGATGCTAAAAAGAGAGAAGTTTATGATAAATTTGGAGAAGAAGGATTAAAGGGAGGAGCTGGATCAGCAGGAGGAGGTGGTGGTGGTACAACATATACTTTCCATGGAGACCCAAAAGCAACTTTTGCTCAATTTTTTGGATCTGCTAGTCCTTTCCAAACTTTCTTTGAATTTGGAGGTCCTTTAGGAAATCGAGTATTTAGTTTTCATGATGATGATATGGACATAGATGATCCACTTGGATTAGGAGTTGGTCCCCAACGTCAAAGTGGCCAAAGTGGAGCTTTCAGATCACATTCTTTCAATTTTGTGGGACCAAACTCTGGTAGAGGAAGCAACAAAGATCGTGCTCAAGATCCTGCTATTGAACATGACTTATATATCAGTTTAGAAGAAATTTTACGTGGTTGTACAAAGAAAATGAAAATTTCCAAACGAGTTGTACAACCTGATGGTTCTACCAAAAAGGAGGACAAAGTCCTTACAATTAATGTTAAACCAGGATGGAAAGCTGGTACAAAGATCACTTTCCAAAAAGAAGGTGATCAAGGCCGTGGAAAAGTTCCAGCAGATATTGTTTTCATCATTAGAGACAAACCACATCCTCTTTTTAGAAGAGAAGGCAGTGATATAAGATACACTTGCAAGCTAAGTTTAAAACAAGCTTTATGTGGTACTGTTATTGAAGTTCCTACGCTTATTGGCGAAAAAATCAACTTAAATTTGACTAGAGAAATTGTAAAACCTAATATGGTCAGGAGGATTCAAGGTCATGGTTTACCATTTCCAAAAGAACCATCAAGAAAAGGTGATCTTCTGGTTTCATTCGACATCAAATTTCCTGAAACATTATCCCAAAGTGCAAAGGACATATTATATGACACTCTGCCAAATTGAACACGCAAAATTGAAAAAAAAATGGATAATTACATGTCATCACAACGACAGTTCTCTAATCATCCTAATTGACGAGAGTGTACGTTCTAGTACATAATGCTTGATTAGAGAGCTGTAAAAAAATATTTGTTGAAGCGGCGCAAATAATAATTTTATTTTATAGTTAGGAAAATGTGATTTTCCATTAGTCAAATGTAAAATAATCAGGTTTTCGGTTTAGGCAAATTTATGTTCATTAGAATGAAAAAATGGATCATCAATGTTTTGGTAGCACAGTGGAACGTATTTTGCCTTTACACGCGGGAAGGAAGATCCTAAATAGTAATTAAGATTGAATATATTTACATTAAGTTATATTTAACAGAGTGAATTTGTTATAGCGCAACTCTGTATGAATGCGATCTGCTTCATTTTGTTCATTTTGTACATTCAGAGTATGTATTATGTATACAAATATATTTGAATGAATGAATGTAAGTTTATGTATGTGTGTATGGTCTGTAAGTATTCTTTAATGTAAATGTATACAGTGCGTCTGATTTGTATGAGCAGTAAATCTGCAAAAGCATGACAAATTATACCACCATCATTTTGTTCAACAATCATATTTCTTATACTTTACTTGATTTTTTATATATCATGATTCGATTTGTTATTGTTTTCAATAAATTATTATGATAATATTAATATGATAATAAAAAAAAGAGGATTAATACATTTAAAAATTCTAAAGAAAATTGTATTTTCCTCATTAATTTTGTTCAACTTCATAATGATTGGTGGAAGGCTTTGTCATATAAAAGCAGTGTATAAACAACTATTTGTAATATCGAGCTGATTTTCTTATGTAACGCGTCTTCTTAATTTTAATGGTTGGTTAATTATTTGTACGCTAAAATAATATCGATACAATTAAGTGACACAATTCTGTATTTTTATTCATTCCTTGTCTCATGATCGCTCCTATAGTGGATATAACATCGAGACATTCTTAAAATAGACAGCAAAGTGACGTCATTATCCTATCTCCCAGAGATACTTTCACACAACCGTGTAGTGAAACCGTGTAGATATATATACAATTTTCTGATATATTGATATATTTATATTTATACTGTACGTATAATAAAAAAGAAATGATTAAACAATAATGAGAAAATTATAGTAAGGAAAAAAAAAGAAAAATGTATATTTGATATTAATAATCTAAAATCTTTGTAACTATTTGTTTATCTTAAAACATATGATTTCATATTATGATCTTATCAAAATAAAGTAAAAAATTGAAATCAATAGAAAACTTTTAATAAGTAATTAATACTGATATTAAAAAAAAATAAAAATCATGAAATTCTATTACGAGAAAGTCATTTACATTCTTTTTTTATCCTTTTTTTTATGTAATAATTTGAAAAATGCTTGCTCTGTTAGTTTAATCAATTCTATATAATCTTTATCGATCCATTCTCGTCTGTTGGAAATCTAATATTGTATGGGAGAGAGGTCAAAAAGGATAATCCATCAGGCTTCAAACTCAAATATTTGACTACTTGATCATTATGACGAATTTCTTTTACATTTTGAAGACTAAATTCTGTGTCGTCGTTTTGACGATCATTCAGTAGCGTTTTTTCAAAATGAAAACTTTCGGGCAGACAGTGATGCTGGCGACAAAAATAATTTTGTCCCTCTTCAGTATGACACCATGTACCATCTGGAAAGTATGGGTCAAGGCCAAGGTCATTTAATTCCACACGCGGTGTGTAATAAGATGCTATGTCTTTTCGTCGACAAAATATAGCACAGGCCATCCATGGTCTTTCGGGTTCGTGCAGTGCTTGTAACCCACTACTTTTGGCGTCCAATTCTGGCAATTTTTCACTGAATTCGCCACATTTTAATGTCGCGAACTCATTTATATTTTTACGTTTTTTATTGCATAGATTTTCATCTCTACAAAGGATAATATCGAAATGCAATCCCTGGCAATCAATTTCAGTGTTTTTTGGTATTGATGTGTTGCAAAATCGTTGTCTTATTTGAGTACCGGTAGACTTCAATAGACATCCACTTTTGCAAGGTCCTGTTTTCCATTCACTCCATCCACCTGACTCAATAGAAGGATTATTCAAACCAGGATAAATTTGCAAGACGTTTTTACATTCACCACCACGACACTCTTTTCCTGGTGCGCAATAAGTTCCATCTAGAGCTGGTCCAGCGAAATAATAATCGTTTCTATGAGGAATTTTACATTGCAAAGATTCACAAACTTTATAGAATGTGGCTACTATGGCATCTTTATCTCGGAGAAACAGTTCACATTGCCTTTTAGCGGTCCATTCTCTTCCTGGGAGATTAAAGAATCTAGTATGATCTAGTCGATTATTCATCGAAGAACGAATTGATTTATCTCTAAGGCAAGATTTTGTATATGGAAGTTTTTGTGCTACTTCCCTACTACATTCTGACCAAATAGTCTCTCCATAAGTACCTCTGCTAGGAGACATTATATAGCCATCTTTTGGACATGTGTTTCCTGTTGAATCATGATGCATTCCTAAACTTTTTAGAAAAAAGATGTTAGTTAATGATTTAAGATTTTTATACAAAAAAAAAAAAATAATTTAACCTTTTGCATTTGAAGTTGAATTATATATAAGTTATTGCAGTGTTATTGCATTTTGTTGAATATATAAATTGATTGCAAAAAATTAATTCGTTTTACTTAAAATATTAATTAATTAATATTAAACTTACTTGTGTCCCATTTCATGCGCAGCTACATAAACAGATGTGAAACCAGCTGATGGAAAAGGCTTTCCAAATTGATTCGTTACCCCTAATTCAGCAATAACACAAGAATATTGTTCGATACATAATCCATTTACAATAGCTAATCCCATAGTAGCACTATTTTTTTGTCCACCTTCCATAACATAAAAGTCCAAACCAGAAACATATAATCCCATATCCCAATGATTAGGATTAAATTCATTCGTGGGATTATTCTTCTTAGCATAATTGCAAAAAGAATCCAATAATTTTCCTCGTTCCCCATCATGATGGGGTAAATCTTCAGGTTGCTTTTGCATAATTTCGAGTCTAATAAGAGAAATATCGATTGCAATTCCTAAACTTGGATGATGATAAACCGCTTGTATACCATTTATATAAGCTAGTAACATATCAAGAATTTTCTCATCATTTCTATCAAAAAAAGGTGAAAAAAGATTATAACCAGTCTCGTCAAAGAACAGTGCTAATTCCAATGTTAAAGCATCGTTTATATTATTTTTGTTGATATTTTCAAGTGGTTCTTCGTTTTGATTTCCTTCTTCTTTCCTTAAGTAATTGTAAACTGGAATGTAATACTTCAGTTCATCTTCAAAAAACGTAAAAGGACCGTAAGTTCTTTTGACGATATGAGGCTCTCTCAATGTTTCTGAACGTCGTTTAATATTATCGAAAAATGAGATTTCCTGACTTTGAAGAGGCATGATTTCTAATGTAATATTCTTCAGAAACACTAAACCATACTGTGATAAAAAATAAGCTACTTTATGAAACGTGTTTCTTTTTTTATTATATTTTTAGATTCTGATACTGACCATTCCATGTTCTCCGCAAAGACTTATTGCTGCCGAACTAAGATTATCTTTATGAAGATAATGACACAATATTGGTTTATTAAGTTCCGGTAGTTCTTCCAGAGTATCTGCATCATTATGCTTCCAAACTTGAAATTGAGGTGCTATAATTTTATCATTTTTATGTAATGTTAATTCAACCGAATGATCAAAAGCTTTGAAATTTAGGGGTACCTGTAATGAGTTAATTAGATGATCTATTGCATAATGAAGATTCTATGAAAAAATAAGTAATTTAATATATTCAATGGTGATCATAATATATGATAGTTTTAAGATTTCATAATTTTTCATTATTATGAGAATGATTTAATATTGTATAATATAAAACTATATATATCAAATTCGAGGCATGCATATTGAACCTATTTTGTAATTTATATGTATATATAAATAAAGATGTTACAATGAATAACTACCTCTGATTTATCTTCCGCATTCCACAATGGTAATAAAATAATTTCAATATCCTGCGTGTTTTGACCGTATACTAAATGAAATAAAAGTAACAAAACAGTTTTTAATACTAAAGCCATAACGCGAGTTATGAATTTCAAGTTCAAGTATTTAGAAAAATGACAAACTTGTTCTTATATATGCGTATGGATGCAACTTATGAAACCCGTATATTGTTTATCTTTTGCAAAAGAATATATAAAATGCAAAATGTATGCTGGCACCTCTATTGCAAATGTCATTGACACTGAAATTTGAACAAATTATATAATAATAGCAGTAATTCTATGTTAACGTGCATCATGGTGCATAGGAAACGGAATTCATAGGATATGTTCTTTTTTTTACCACAAATCCCGTATTCTGTATAATTTACAGTGTAGATTAGATAATAATATAAAATATATATTTTTTCCTTTAATAAACATGATAACAGCATTATCAATGGAACGATTAAAGATTTAATAAATTAAGATAAAAATGTGGTATATTTCAATGCATTGATTACTCGATGTACAAAACAGATACTGTATGAAATATAATCTGTTCAGGTAGAACTTTGTACTTTGTTGCATTATATCTACAGATACTGTTTACATCTCGGTTCTATAAAATCGTATTATGATCATTTCTGGTATATATATATATATACCTATATTTCAACCATTGTTCGCTCACGCAGCAAATCAATGTATTATCCTAACAAACGTACTAGCATTTCCTTTCGTTTACAACAAAAGTATATTATTGCATAGATAATAATTAACATAATCAGGCAATTTTGTAATAAATTTCTTCAATTGATGATATACGCTTAAAAATTTGTCTACCATTCTATATTGTTTTTCTCTCTTATTTCTTCTTCTCGGCGCTGAAGAGATCGGGCAAATAAAATGATAACAATACAACAATATCAATATTTTTCATTATACCACGATTTGCAAGATTCATTTTTTCTTCTTTTTTTTTACTATGTGATAAATCACGCAAATGGAAGGTAGGAATGAAAGAGAAAATATGCTTGTTACAAAAACCTTAGTATTAAAATATTTCAATAAAAAACAATAAATAATAATCATGATCAATAATAAAATTAATAGAAGTTTCGGCAGTGTATATAACATGCTAAACTTGGCAGGTGCCTACATCATTATTTAATTATATCATATTAATGTATAAGGGGATTATTAAATAATTTGATAACTAATTACAATCAAGTACGGCGAGCGATCGATTTTTTTCTGGCTCTTTTCTTTTTTCTTTTTTTTACATTTCAATCCATGAAATTCACTTGGTTGTTTCTTTTACTCGCTCATTCCCCTTCTCTCTCTCTCTCTC